CTGGGACGGCGCCGACGTGCGCGTGGAGCGGCGCTTCGTGCCCGCGCGCTGCCCGCGCGCCGTGCGCCACGGGGACTTCGTGCGCTACCACTACCACGGTGCCTTCGCCGACGGCACCCGCTTCGACTCCAGGTCTGGCACCCCCGCTCTGCGTTGCGTGCCCCGCGGGCTACCCGTCTGCGTGCTGCCTGTGTGCAGAGTGCATGCCCTGGGTTCTGGGTGCGTCCTGCCCCAGGCCGAATTGCATCCCTCAGGTCCTTGTGCGCATCCAAGCCCTGCTCCGGATTGCAGCCCCTCCCAGGTTCCAATCTGGATTGTGTCTCCCAGCTCACTGTTTGCATCTGGCCTAGGTCTAGATTGCATCCCTTTCCCTGGGTCCCCGTCTGGATTGCATCCCCTGGGTTCTCACATGTGTCCTGCCGGGGTCCAGACTTATCCCTCAGGTCCCAGTGTGCATCCTGGCTCTGGTCTGGATTGCAGTCCCCCAAGTCCTGTTCTTGACTGCATGCTCTGCCAGGTTCTCATTTGCCTCCTGCAGATTGCATCCCTTGGGCGCTGGGTGCATCCTACCCTGGTCTGGATTGCATCCTTTCCCTGGGTCCATGTGTGCATTGCGCCCCTGTCCTGATTGCATCCCTCAGGCCGTGATGTGCATCCTGCCTCTGGCTGGATTGCATCCCCTTCCCGTCTCCGGATCGCTTCCTCTCATCCCAGTGTGCATCCCCCTTAGGGCTTGAGTTCACATCCCCTCGGGTTGCAGTCTGCAATCCCACTTTCCCTCCCCCGGGGTTTGGTTTGTGTGAGGACCCTCTTTGGGAAGACAAGGGGATGGAGAGGTGGTGCCACGAAGGAGGCATTGGGGAGGGTGGGTGGCAGCCAGCAGCGGTGCCCGCGCAGTGGCACGGGGTGAAGGCCGTGGCAGAGGTTGGGTCCTGGCCCCTCTGCCCTTTCCGCCTGGGGTCCATGGGCCCCTTTGAGTGCAGGCAGGAGGGACGGGGCCTGTGGAGCCCCAAGGGCCGGGGGTGCTGGGAGCAGCCCCTGTCGTGGTGCTCGGCCTGGGGCGGCAGCGCGGGAGGCTGCAGGCAGCCCATGCGCCTCCGAGGGGCCCCGGCTCCCCGTGCCCGGCTGGAGAGACCGCCAGGACGGTCACCGCGGGGGCTGGCAGTGCGGAGCGCTTTCCTTTGGGGCACTTCTGTGCATCCCCGAGGCTTAACTGGAGGGCGCGCACAGCAAAACGTGGGTCCTCTGTGTCAGGAAGGCAGGAATTGCCAAGGTGTGCTTGCTCAGGAAGCCTTGTGTAAGTTACTCCCGAGTAAATGTGACCCATCCCGGTGCTTCTTTGGCATCGGAAAACCTGAGCAGTGGGTCAGGAGTGTGCCACGGATGCCGATGCTCCCATCTCACTGCTTACTGTCTTTCCTTTTTTATTCATTCATTGCCACAGATCAAAGTATTACTCAGAAAGAAAAAAATAACCCAAAATGTATTCCCAGTAATCCTGGTAATCTCCATTGTGGCTTCAAATAAAATCCACAGCCTTGGGGAAGTAACTGTCCTTCAGAGGAAACTCAGCCCTCCTCCCTGGGGTGCCACCTCAGCAGGAGGTGGCTGCCTGTGGCCGGCAGCTTTGCTGGCCTGGCCTTGCCTGGTGCAGTTTGCAGCGAGACAATGCGCAAAAACAGTGAATTTGTTGGCAACTGGGAGTCCTGGAAAATGACTTAGTCGTGGATTGGAGGATGCACCGGGGCTTTATCCTCAGTGCTCACTTTAAAAACATGCGCAACCGTGCAGACCAGCCATGTGTTCAGAAATGTGGTTCTCATTTATCCCGCTACGTGCGGGGCCTCGTCGCCGTGCGGAGCAGCCCCGGCAGCGAGGCAGGACACCTGGAAGAGCCCTTGGGAGCGGGCCCGGCGCCGGCGTTCAGAAGTGCCGGCCCAGCTCGGCTCCCAGCGCCCGGTCCTTGCGCGCGGCCTGCGGGTTATTTGGTGCTGGAGCGGGCGGCGCGGAACCACGCGGCATTTAGCTCCTCCGGTCCCCTAGACACCACCACAGCATCCAGCTGGCGGCAGTCCGCTGTAACTGGGATCCATCGGTGAATTGTAGGAATATTTTGGAGTATCTCTCTTAAAACCTGTCGTGCTTCTGCATACGAGTTTAAGATAACCAGTTTATACCTAAAATACTAAAAAGCCCATTATTTTACTGCTCATAAAGGCTATTCAGTTTTTAAGTTGATGAAAGTGCTTGCTGGTAAAGCATCAATTTAGCCAAATTCTACCATGAAATTGGTCTAGAATTTCAGGTGGTGAACGAAGGGCAGTTTAATTCCATTTCTCACTCAGCTGCCCAAAATGTTCTTTAGCTTTTTTTCTTTCAGTGTTAGAGCCTTTATTTCCTTGGTCCTAAAATGATGAAGGTTGTAAACCCTGCATTCAGTTGCATGTGCATCTGCTGTGACGTTGGTAATATCCATTAATGGAAACTAATTCTGCTTAGTTTTAAGGAATCTGCCAAGTCAGTCAGTCATGCAAAGCCGCGTGGTCTGTGCACTGCTTTGTTCAGTTCTTCACTTAGGGTCAGAGTTTTCTAAATTGTAGATTCATTTTAGGTACAAAGGACTGAATCCTTTTTATTCTAAATCTGACCAAGACATGATCATATTCTGTTGTAATGAGTAAAACTTGGCACTTTTCTTTTTTTTTTTTCTTCTTTTTTCTCAGAATCTTTTATGTTATTAATTTTAACTTCTTAATTCTGTATTTACATGCATAGCAGAATTTGTCAGGAGCCTGTTTAAATATTTTCCCTCCTTCTCTAGGAATGTTCGTGCCACAGCAATGAACGCTCTGTACAGAGGGATATCTGTTTTAAGAAAAAAAAAATGCCAGAAGAAAAATCGTGGCATAAACAGAGAGATCATTTCCACAAATAGTTGAGGGATTTGAGGCTTGGGCCTGTTGGGAGGGCTGGACCATGGTGGCAGGGATGTGTTCAGTCTTTGAAGGAAAGTTTGACAGCATTTCCCTAGCGATATCTGGCTCCTGGCTGCTTTCCAGCATATTTTAGCATGCAAAGACACACGTGCCCTTATCTCTTTTTCAGTGCTCCCTTTTATCTGAAAAAAAGAGGGTCTTTTAAATCGTAAAAAGAGCTTGGGAAAAATAAGCGAGAGCTTAAAAATAGGCAAGAAACTTTTGAAGTGTCCTCTGTCTTATACTTGTATGTTGCTTTAAGAAAATAAAAGTAAGCACAAATTTAGATATGACAAAGTGAGGTCATGGCATGAATTTAAGCTAGTCAAACTCTGACTATGACAGCTAGTGTTAGTTTTAAATCATGGTAACGCTGCTGATCTCAATGGCCTATGGCATATTTTATTATCATCTAAGCATAATTCCATTTTACTTACCAAATGTTCACGCATTATCGCAGTGGAAAGTTTAGCTGGATGTATCAATTCCTGATCCTGCAAACGTGCTGCTTAAAGCACATCTGCGGTTTTTGCTATTGATTCTAATCTCTATGAAACGAGAGCTGTGACTGCGGAAGAGAAAGCAAGGAGCCAGTTGCCAAGTCTCACAACTGTTACTCAAAAAGGCACCTTCTCCCCTTTCCTCCTCTCCCACAGAGAGTTTCCAGCCATGAGGTCTCCTGTCATAAAGCTTGTTGATCTTGCGTCCTATTTTTCTGGTTAAACGACTTACATAAATGTGTTAATCAACTGGTATAAATAGGTTGGGAGCCTACTGTGGGAGCATCCATCCTTGTATGTCTTATCATAGTGTATAGGCTGTCCCTTTTGTCATTAATTTTCCACTACTGCTTGCAGCACTAGTTATGCATTAGTTTAGCATTAACCAGTTGTCGTTTCGGGCTTGGGGTTTCTGCAGCAGGTGTCACACGTTAGAAATCATTTGAGAGGCCACATGAGTGGTGATGGGAAGGGGGAACTGGAATTTGAGAAATTGGATTCGGATTTGCCTCATCTCTTAGCAGCTATCTCTTAATAAAGTTATGCTAACAGAGTAAGGTAGAAACAAACTAAACTCTGAGAAAACAGATGCGGAAAGGTTGGCAAATGCTTCCATTGTAATTTTTTTCCTGCCCTTCCGCCTGCAGCTATGACAGGGGCTCCACGTTCAATGTGTTCGTGGGGAAGGGGCAGCTCATTGCCGGCATGGACAAGGCCCTGGTCGGCATGTGCGTGAACGAGCGGCGCTTCGTGCAGATCCCGCCCCAGCTCGCCTACGGAAGCGACGGCGTCGGTGAGTGCGACGCGCGGCCCCGCGCGCCCTGGCAGCTGGAGCCCCCTGCTTGCTCGTCCCTCCCTGCCCGTTAGGCACGTGGCGCTGGTGCAGGTGGGCTCAGGGCTGTGCTCGGAGCCAGGGCAGCCTCGCTCGAAACGCCCCCAGGGCAGCAGCGCGAGAGCCGGCTGCCCAGGGCATGTCCCTGGCGGCGGGTCAGGCTTTCCCTGCTTGTATGACTGCAGCAGTGACAAGGGACAGGGGGTTAAAACACAAAAGGGACAAGTGAGGGAATGTGTGGGCAGGCTCTGGTTTTGCTGGTGCCCTGTGAAACGCAAGGAGACAAAACTGCTCCTGGCATAACCGCTCGCGTTGTTCTGCTTTTGCAGCCGGCGTGATCCCGCCGAACGCTGTGCTCCACTTCGACGTGCTCCTCATAGACCTGTGGAATTCCGAGGATGAAGTGCAGATTCAGACCTACTTTAAGCCCGAGGCTTGTCCGCGCACCGTGCAGGTGTCGGACTTCGTTCGCTACCACTACAACGGAACCTTCTTAGACGGGACCCTCTTCGACTCCAGGTGCGCTCCAGGCAGGGCTTTGTGCTCGTGCATTTTAATCTGATGTCACCTAAAGCAGTCTCTTTTTGACGCTTCCACTGATACCACAAATCAGGCTAGTTACCCTGAAACGCAGAGAGGTTTCGCAACAACTAAAGCTCGCATTATACCATGTCAGTAGTTTATTCAGGATTATGGCAAGGCAGCATGGACTCAAACCAGTAAAACAGTTTCATTCTTTCTGCGTAGGCATCAGAAGCCCAGATTTTTTCTCTTGTTCCCTGTGTCCATATTACTGTTTACTGCAGTCAGCTAATAGTTTTTGTAATAATTGCAGCCCTGCTGTTCAAGCTAAAGGTTTGTAAACTGAGCAGATGCAATTGGTAAAGAGATTGAACTAGTAATGCTCTCACATGGAGATTTTACTCCGTTAATGTTCTGAGGAAAACGATACTTTAATACCATTGCAGATATGTTTGCAAGCCAGTTTTCAAAACAATATTTAGGTTCATAAACCAGCTAAGTG